GTGCTTCGAGGGACAAAGAAAACCTGAGTGATGCTGACGGTTAATTATTTTGACTGATTTTTATGCGTTTTTGCCTATATGTGCAAAAATGCGTATTATCGAGAGGTCGTTGGTATGTGCTGTGTCTGTGTGTTCGTCAGTTTCGATTTTTCATCTCGAGACCCAGAAAAACTACACGGCTGAAACTTTGACATCTTAGTCTACACTTGTGTAGGGCTCCTATCCACAAAATCATCACTCACGTCCGTGTAGTGGTCGTGTAAGAGCAAGTAAAAATTTTTGGCGGGTAAGTTGCTAACTCAGGGACTAGAAAGGCTAGAAAAATAGAATTTCAAGGGGATGTACTGATAGTCATGCTAGCCAGTCTCAATTCCTTTAGCTAGAAACATCTGTCAGCAAAAACAGTGCCACTAGTCGACAAAAACTTGCAGAGAACTGTGCAAAATGCGAATTTTCGCACCGGCAGTCAGTGCGCTTGCCAATTATTGAAATTTTTCACCTGTTTCTGTACAGTTCACGACGCAGTAAACAAAATGCGGAAGATGCGCTACCGTATGCTTTGATGAAGAAGGGGGCTAGGATTCCCGAACTAACACAGAGGGAAAGCGAACATGCAAAGACTATCAAGACTGTTTGGACAATCGATGTGGATCAGGTGCTAATAATATGACGGAGATGGGATTGGGTACCCATACTCTGGCTCATTCCATGCTCCATAATCTATCTTTTTCTAGGCAGTAACTTTGAAAAGTCAAAACTTAAATATGCCGAAAGAGAGAATTTTATGCTCCGGGAAGGGACCCTAACGAAGAGTGGTTTCATTTCTGTTTAGTAGTTAATTCCGAGCATTCCTCTATTTATATGTGCAAGCAGCATTTACATCCCGAAATAAGCTAAAGACTTGCCGAAGTATTATAATCAAAAGAACCACTAGATTGATAATTCCATTAGGTGACGAACAAATGCTTGGATTGCCAGCAAACTTATTTCTGGAAACTTGTAATTTTTGTCACCCATCAGCCCTTCGACCGACAATTTCGTCGGTTTTGAATAGCTCTCACTGTTGCTGGTGTCTCTCAGCGTACATAAACTTCGTATCACATTCATTTCCAATGTATTAATTTTGCTAACTCCACATATTTAGCTAAAACAACATTTTTTCTCAGCTGCGGTCATAAGAACGACGCCACTCGCGACGCAACAATTAAAATACTAAGGAAAACAGCAAACCATCGGCCTAAATGTCCACCTTCTTCCAAAGCGCTGCCTATATCACAGTACCAGCTGCTTTGATTAGTGCTGCAATTCCTGATGGTCAGCTTGCTGGCCATCGTGGCGTTCATTTTGTGCTCTGGAGGAGTAACCAGCGCAGCAGTTCTCTTGATTTTACGTGGTACTGTTG